TAAAATATCATGATAAATTTTACTTATAAAGCTAACAATACTAATTTAACCTCTAAATAGTCACTATATATTTGATTGTCATATAGTTGTGATTATATAAAGGTACCCTTTTTACAGTCACATCTTTATATAATCACAGATTTTGACGAAACCAATTGTGTAACTATATAGAGGTCTGACTGTATGTTAATATATAAGGCAAATATGAATACAGGAGTTGCAGAACACCGAAGGTGTGGAGCATGTAACCAAAATATGAAAATAATTAAATTAGGCTATCTCCTAAAGGTCTTGACCGAAGAAGGGTGTAAAAAAAAAATGGTTATCATAGTGTGAAAAAAAATGGGTAGCATGATGTAAATAAAAAATTGGCTAAAAGGTGTACTCATATAAAGCATCTCATACAGTAAACAGATTAGTCAAATATGCCAAAATCATCATAAATCTCATTAGTATACTTGATATTGTTTTTCTTTTGTTTTAGCAAAGTCTCATGTAATCCCTCTAGAATTTGCTCCTCCAACTGCTTCTCAAATTCGTGTTTCTGTTTTCCTGCTTCTTCAGTTTTGTTCGCTGACAGCTCTAAAAGCAATTTATCAATTTTCATCTGAATTAAATCATTAGCATTAGCTTTATCCTGAAGTCTATTAAAATATTGGGTTACATAATAGGTACCAGAATGCTTTCTATAAAGGCCAGTTTCAGAGTTAGTTGGCTTACCACAAACCTTACAGGGAATATGAGGTTTAGCTTTTCAATATTCAAAGCATCCTTCAGGTTGACGGCAGGTCTACCCACAGACAACTCCAGTTCTGAGTAAATAATTGTAAGAATATTCACCTATCATGATAATAAGAAATAAATATTTTATTTTAAACAAAAGTTTTTGCTATATTAATACAAAAACTATATTCAATACTTGCATAAGATGATTAACTATAAAGACATCGAATCAGCATTAGTTGAGGTAATCAAAGTAGTATATAGTCAAGACACGAAAAATATGACAAAATGGGATTAACATATGTGGGCTATTTGAAAATAATGTGACGTAAAAGGGACCCAGATGATCATTACAGATATGTAGCAAAGCAATAAGCTCCAAATGAGAAAGTCTATAATGAAAGAATGGCAGATTACAAAGACTGATATAATGAAGAAGTGTATCAGAGTATCGAAAAGTTATACAAATTATATCTCTTATTCGTGAGCCAAGAAGAGATTATACAAAAAAGATCTATAGAAGAAGTAAACGAAATGCTTAAACTTCATGAATTAGAAATCTAATTTGTGAGCACCCATTGGGGTGGTAATTCTGTGTCAGGATGAATGATTTGAAGCTTCTCTCTTACAAAGGATCTTTTTGGGTTATTGCTCTCATCATCTATTAGCCAGTACAAGACCAGCTGATTTTTTTGCATTAGAGATCATGAATATGATAAAATTAGGGAGACCAATTACAATCAGTTACATGTCGTCTCTCACCTTCTAATTCACCAAGATTAAGCAAATATCTTACTAAAACATCATAGGATAATCTAGGCTCATCAAACCCAATAGGTCCTTCTTGTAGCTTAGAAGCTTTAGCAAAAACATATTCTTTTTTTCGAGCTTCAGCAGGAAAAATATCCAGAAGTCGAGTTACAGAATTGTCAAGCTCTACAAGAAAAATTGGAAGGTTTTTTACCTAAGCTCGACAGCGCTCAGTAGGAGGTAATCTCATTTCAATACTATCTTGAATAAAGAATGCTCATTTTTGAAGTATACGATTAAATCTTTCAACAATACCCATAGATTCTTTAGAATTAGCTAGTTGAATTTGGATACCATGTTCGTTCATTAGTATGATAACATTACCTTAGAATTCTACGCCCCCATCTACCATTAAAACTTTAACTTTAGACCAGATAATTGGACATATTCAGGAGTTAAAAAGTTTCACAAATCCTTTAGCCATATTAGCAGAATCACGTCTAGTTAAATGATAGGTCTATTTAGTGCAGATAGCAATATCTACACAATTAAGTGCAAATTTATAAGTTTTATTTCCAATTCGATTATAAGGCATATAGCATAAATTAGCTTAAATAACTTCCATAGGTACGGTAATATTATTAAAAGATGCTTGTGGAATATATTTAGGCCAAGGCTTGTGAATCTGATACAAAGCCTGTTTGTTAAGCCAATTTTTTATTACGGTCAAAGTAAACCCATATCTGACTCTCTTACAAGCGGTTTGCATTTTTCAGCAGTCTGATAATATCCCTCAAGTCTGTAATAAAGTTTTTGTGAAGCAAGATTTTGATCTAAGTCTTACATTTTCTGAAGATCAATATAAATAATCAGTTCTCCCATTCCATTTTTTTTATAATTATGAAAAAAAGCTAGCATCTATTAAGTCAGATTCTATTCATTAGTTGAGGCACTTTTTTCTTTGCGCTTCTGCCTCACTATTATCTCTTTTTGTAGGTTTAGAGGAGTGTCAAACCTTAGGCGAATTGCAAGGGGATCATCTTCTGATCTAGTGAAATCAAATACAATAAATTCACCTTTACGGAGATAGCTATTAATAACCATGGATGCACTCTTTACATCATCAGTATATTGTATAACAATCTTAGACATGTCTTGAATACTGTTACCAGAGTTAAATAATACTAAATGAGTTGAGTTTTCGCGAATGAATGTATTAACTCTATGATATTTTTACGTTATATATACACATGAAATATTTCGGTAATGTCCATTCCTAAAAAATTGGCCAATTCGATTTTGTATATGCTCTGAAGCTAAGCATACATCCTCAAAAATAATTAATGTACTTCTCTTAGGTGAAAATGCTCTTATACTAGGAATTTTTTCAGATAATATATAGCTGAAACTAATATCCTCATAGTAAGATACTCTTGGGTCTTTTGAAATCATATTATATATATATCTCACATATGTTCACTTTGGCTTATCAGGATAGTAACCACAAATATTCAGATTATCACAATAAATATATTTAGACCCACCTTTTCTTTTTTCTTATATATATTCATCCTTATCACCAAGAACAAGGTTTCTAAGTAAATTAGTCTTACCTGTACTATTTCTTCCACTAATTATCATAGAAAAAGTCTATGTCATTGATGGATGACTGATATTTCAGGATGATTCATGCTTTGTGACTTTATTCATATCCAAAAGACGAAGTTTCATAGGAGGTATTTCTGTTTTTGTATTCTTCTGCATAGTGGATTAGAATTTCGTATTTTTGTTTTCTATCAAAAGGTATTATATATTTCGGAAAAATTTTCTCTTCATTAAGGGATATAATAAAAGAATATAGATAGGGGAAGATAGACCACAGAAAGTATATGATTAGTAATAGTATTATAAAAAAGATCGCAAGCTGAAAAAAGAAAGAACCAAATTTCTCATTACTAATTAAAGCTTTGCCAGACCCTGACATAGTAATGGGTAATATTGTGAGTTTCTCTTTTGATTTTTGTTCAGCGTGATCTATCGGAGACTCCACTTCATTTTTACTTTCCTTTCATCAGGTTCAAGTTCTGAACAGTATGAAGAAAAAGAGGGGTCTTGCCCTGAGCATCTTTGGCAAAGAAACTGGATACCTCTTCTACTTTATCACTACCTATTTTTGAATCGTTAGATGATGAATATGATTTTAAAGGGATCTGTTCTAGTTTATCTCTTTTGGTTTGACGCTCTAGTTCATTTACCCTTGACCTGAGACAGAAAATTAATCCATCATTAAATGATGAATTTTGCGTAACTTTCTCCAGTTCATTTTCTAATTCTTTTGCTTTAATCTCAAGAGAGGGATTGCTACATAACTGGTTAGTATCAGAATCCTTTAATAAAACTTTTGCGTAGCTTGTTCTAACTCAGCCTCCAGTTTATTTATTTTAGTTTCAAGAGAGATAATATCAGAATTCTTCAAAGATAAAGCTTTTTACATCAAAGATAATATACTTTCCAGTGATTTAACTGTAGACTTTAGTGATTCTATTTCTTTTAACTGCTTGGCATTAAGATTGGTATGAGACTTTTGTTCGCAAGTAATTTGGGAGACAAGCTTATTATTCAAACTATTTAGCTAATTAGCTAGAGGGATAATTTGATTCATAGAATTATGCATATGCTCATTTTCCTCATACGAGTGATTTAGATCATTTTGCATACACTTATTTTTTTCATCTAAGACATGATATTTAGTTATAAGCTGTTTGGCAGATCTTATAAACTTTTCACGATCTTTTCTTAGCTGTTCTTCAAGTTCTAATCAGCTCAGTGGATATTGATTGGATGGAGGGCTTTCAAGTTTACTGCTATTACTATTACCTACATCATTTAAAGTATAGATTCAAGGTATAGTTTTTTATCTCACAAATAAAGGCAAAAAAAAAATAATATTTTTAAAATAATGCGTTCTTTCTATATTTTTAAAATAATACATTTATCTCATTTAACTCAGTAAATATTTTTGTAATAATATATTTTTCCTATTTATCCTAATAAAATATTTTCGAAAAAATACATTCCTCCTATATATTCAAAAGAATATATTTCTTCTAATTATTTAGAAGAATATATCTATTCTAATTATTCTATTTAATATTTTCTTTTTTTATCTAAAAAAATACCATTACGATTATGGTTAGATAGCGTATGAATTGTAATGCACCTCTATTTTCACCAACTGATTATGATTTTATTATACAACGTCATGATGAAAGGCTGAGAAAGAAAGTTTTAGATGAATTGATGGACAAATATAATACATTAATGAAGCACATATATCAGATTTAGAAAGGCGAAGAAATTAATAGAATTGCCTAAAATTAACCAATAGCTGATATTTCTAATACTACTTATGCGGGTGGGTGTTTACCTATAGTAAACTACGACCTACCTTCTGCTATTTCCTCTCCACCTACCTTACTACTGAAGAAAAATAGCTGAAAAAAGAAAACAGGTAAAATAAGTGTAGCATCTATTGAGATGGAGACAGAAGCGCTTTCACAACGCAGTGCTAATACTACTGATAATACTGATATTATATCTAAAATTGGATCTGAACTTGAAGAGGTATTAAAACAAATGGATGATATTAATTAACTTACTTCTTTTCGGCAAGTATTTTTATAGCACTTATTGTTTTACCAAGCCACTCTTCAGCTTTTGTAAGACATTCTTCAAGCTTCGCACAGTTTACACACTTTTTTTAAACTATCCTTGCTAGTCAGAAAGCACTAGTCAGAATAGTCCAAATTGGCTAAAAATCGGATAGCTGATTTTAGGCCAATTTTGATACTATTTACGTCTGATTTACCATATTTTCTGATCAGCACAAATAGGTGCCAATATACGCTGATTGATCCCAATCAGACATGGCCATTCAGAACTTAAATTCAACTATAAATTAGCCTAAAACTGGTCTCAATTCAGCAATAATTCAGATGTTGATAGACGCTGATTGACTCCAATTGGATATAGCCATTCAGCATCAATTCAGAACTTAAATAACCATAAATCAGCCTCAATTTGGCAACAATTCAGATGCCAATCGATGCTGATCGACTCTAATTGGACAAGTAATTCAACCATAAATCAGCCTAAAATTAGTCTCAATTCAGTATCAATTTGGCAACAATTCAGACATCGATCGATGCTAATCGACTCCAATCGGACAAGCAATTCAACCATAAATCAGCCTAAAATTAGCCTCAATTCAGTATCAATTCGGCAATAATTCAGATGTTAATCAATGCTAATCAACTCCAATCAGACAAGCAATTCAGCATTAATTATCGGTACATTTTATTTATTAAATTTATTAAATATTAAAATTTTATTAATAATAAAAACCTAATATAAATTTGCAAA